CTGAACCGGGGTTCTGTCCCCACGTGCGTACGGATGCGGGGCGAGTCAGTGGTGGACATTTCGTTTGCTAGCCCCGCTCTGTCATCGCGCGTTGTTGACTGGCGCGTCATGGAGGAGGTGGAGACGTTTTCGGACCACCGGTATATACGGTTCGACGTCTCCGCCGAGTCCGCAGACCCGCCAGTCAGACAGGCCCCGTGTGGCCCGCGTTGGGCGCTTAGGCAACTGGACCGGGAGCTTTTCCTGGAAGCCGCAGTCGTGCAGGCCTGGGTGATACCACCGGTCAGGCCAGCCGACATTAACGAGGAGGCGAGATGGCTCCAGGACGCCATGTCAAGGATGTGCGACGTGGCGATGCCCCGGATCCGACCGTGCCAACGCAAGCGCCAGGTGTATTGGTGGTCGCAGGAATTGGCAGACCTGCGCGGTGAGTGCACCGCAGCGCGACGCCGATACACCAGGCACCGCAGGCTCCGTCTCTGGACGCCGAAACCAGAGAGGCGGAGCTATACGAGGAGTACAGGGCGGCGAAGGCCACCCTCAGGGTGGAGATCCGGCGGCCCAAAGATCGGGCCCGCGAGTAGATGTTGGAGACTCTGAACAGAGACCCGTGGGGACGCCCCTACCGGATGGTGCGTGATAAGCTCCGCACCTGGGCGCCCCCACTGACTCAGAGTCTCCGGCCGGAGGTCGTGGACGAAGTGGTTGGGGCGCTATTCCCCCGACCACAGATGGGTTACACGCCTCCGGCTATGCCCCCGCCCCCTGCGGTGCCCAATGCGGGCTACATCGACGACGACGACGAATCCGCTCCGGAAGTGACCGAGGTAGATTTGAGAGTGGCGGTGCGCCGGCTGAGCGGCAAGAATACCGCCCCAGGATCTGACGGGCTGCATGCCAAGGTCTGGGTCCTGGCCTCGGAGGCTCTCAGGCCTCGACTACTTGGTCTGTTCAGCGCATGTTTGGAGAGAGGCCAGTTTCCGCTGTCGTGGAAGACGGGTAAACTGGTCCTCGTGAAGAAGCCGGGGCGTCCTGCGGACTCTCCGTCCGCGTACCGGCCCATTGTGCTGCTCGACGAGGTGGGAAAGCTGTTCGAGAGGATAATCTCAGACCGCCTCGTCGGGCACCTGTCTGGAAGGGGGCCGGATTTAGCGGACGGCCAGTTCGGCTTCCGCAGAGGGCGCTCCACGGTGGACGCCATCATGCGCGTGAGGGACCTCACGACGGGGACAGCGTTGGCCGGGAGGCGAGTCGTCGTGGCGGTGTCTCTGGACATCGCCAACGCCTTTAACTCGCTGCCCTGGAGCTGCATTTTGGAGGCACTCCGGTACCACCGGGTGCCTGCCTATCTCCGTCGTGTAGTCGAGGCTTACTTGACGGACAGATGTGTCATCTACCCCGGTCACCGGGGCGTGTGGAATCGGCGAGAGGTGTCGCGCGGTGTCCCACAGGGATCGGTCCTGGGACCTCTCCTGTGGAACATCGGGTACGATTGGGTGCTACGCACCGACCTCCCGAGCGGCGTCAGCATTGTCTGCTATGCTGACGACACGCTGGTGCTGGCGAACGGGAGGTCGCATCAGGCGGCGGCCGACCTGATGTCACAAGCGGTTGCGACAGTCGTTGCAAGGATCCGGTAGTTGGGACTCGAGGTGGCGCTCCACAAGTCCGAGGCCATGTGCTTCTATGGCCGTCGGAGCGCGCCACCTCCAGGTGGGTCCCAAGTAACGGCAGGAGGAGTTACCATCGGCGTCGAGTCGGCGATGAAGTACCTGGGTCTCGTCCTCGACAGCCGATGGAACTTCACGGAGCATTTTCGTCGTTTGGCCCCTAAGTTGGAACGGTCTGGGGCCGCGCTCAAGCGGCTCCTTCCCAACCTCGGGGGGCCAAACGCCTCCTGCCGGAGGTTGTATATGGGGATTGTGCGATCCATGGCCCTCTACGGTGCCCCTGTGTGGGCGCCGGACTTGAAGCGGCGGCCGGCTCGTACGCTGGTCGCGTCCCAGAGGGTCATGGCTATACGAGTAATCCGCGGGTATCGCACGATCTCCGGGGAGGCGGCGAACCTCCTTGCCGGATCACCGCCGTGGGATCTAGAAGCGAAGGCGCTCGCGCGCGTCTACAGTTTGCGCGCAGACGCGCGTCGCCGGGGCGAAGATCCTCTGCCGCGCCAAATAAATGCGTGGCGGAATGAGCTCCGGCGAGATCTCATGGCAGAGTGGAGACAACGACTGTCGCAACCGAGGGCCGGGCACGCTACCATAGCAGCGGTAAGACCCCTCTTTGAGGAGTGGCTTGAGAGACGCCACGGCGTCCTCACCTTCCGTCTGACGCAGGTGCTTACCGGGCACGGCAGCTTCGGTAGGTTCCTGTTTCGGATTCAGCGGGAGGAAACGCCCGAGTGTCGTCATTGTGAGGACCACCTAGAGGATACGGTGGAGCATACGGTAGCGGTATGCCCTGCCTGGGCTGAGCACCGCCGTATCCTCAGGGAAGTGATCGGCGGCGGCGACCTCTCGCGCCCTGCCTTAGTCGAGGCCATGGTGCGGAGTGAGAGGAACTGGGACGCCGTCTCCTCCTTTTGTGAAGCGGTCATGCTCGCAAAGAGAGAGGCGGCCCGCGTGAGGGAGCAATCCTCCTCCTCACGCCCCAGCAGCCGCAACTGGCGACACTACGGGCGTCGGGGATCGAGGGACGATCTCCGGCCACCGTAAGTACGGGCCTGCGGTCGGCGAGTAAGGGCAGCTCGCCGCCCGACCAGAACCAGGCCCGAGCGTACGTTCCGCGCGCGCCTCAAAGAGCCAATAGACCACCACAGACGGGGCCCTAAAGGGCTGATGATCAGCCGGGGCTGCGGGGTAAGCGCAATAAGGTACCGCGACCTCGGCACAGAGCAGGAGAAGGAACAGGGGGGTTTTTAGTCAGTAACAGTCTGACACTCCCTCCTGCCCGGCCCTGGGCGGGAGAAGTCATTTGATGATTTTCCCCTCACAAAAAAAAAAAAAAAAAAAAAAGACAATTTCATATTACAATAGAAGACACACATTTCACATTTCGAAGAACTACAACTGCAGTTTCTATCATATCCAATACTCTTGTCCAATTTGATGCGCATCAAGTTACTGAGAACAGAATGTGAGATAGCTAAAATCAGTTTCAAAGAAATTCTGACACGGGAATGCTGTAACAACCAAACTCCTCGTTTAATAGGGAAGTTTGATTAGAGTTTAAAACAATGAAAGCACTTACGCTTGGTTTTTGGGAACCGGCGATCGGATCAGAGCTTTCAAAATAGCATGCAAAACTAAAAGTAAGTTTCATAAACACTGGAAATGATTCTTGAAAATCTTATAAAATGTTGTTACATTAGTCTTATAAGGCCTCTATCGTATGTTACACATCGTTCGAAACTACTTAATAGCAATATCTACTCAAGAGCGTGCAATGCATTCATGTATGTGAATATCTCACGGCACGCTTCAGCAACACACTGCAAATCATATTAATTGCCATCGCAAGCAGTGAGCGTTGCAAATTGAACCTTATTAGAAGCATTTCGTGAACATCGTATCAATTCATTTAAAAAGGTTGTTAAGTGAAATGTAAAATTGTGCTCCTGATTTCAGTATTGATTTTCACTGGTCCTTTCAAAGCACTCAAACTATTTCTTCAGAGTAGCGATAAAAATAACACGAGACGTTAATTAACTATTTAAAATTGAACTTCACAAACTACTTAAAGTATTGCGTTCGAATCAACAGTACTCTTCTATACCAGTACTAATGAACCGAGTACAAATTTCAATTTTGAACGAAAACTAAAATCTTTTATGCATCGAGCTTTGTGTCCACCTTCGCAAAACGCAGCTTGAAATGAAATGGCAGCTGAACAATTACACAGCACCGAGGATTTTATACGCCAAACAAAAGAAGTTCATGTGAATACCTTTAATGACGTAACTGATACTAGCCAAGTTCGATAAAGGTACCGTCGCTCATAAAGTTTTGCAAGAAAATATTCGCTACTTAATTGAAACTTTTAAGAAAGTATTCTTCGGAAAATTGACAGAGACACTTTTTTAAAGTTTATTACTTTTTAGGTAATTTTTGCTGGTGAGTCTTTTACAATAGATATACATAATTTTGCATTACCATCATTACGATTACTTTATTTATTAGATGAACTTAATAATCCTTTAATTACATTAAAATCTATTGGTCATCAATGATATTGAATGTATATCATCTACATATGTCCATTGTATACTTAAAACATACAGGAACGAGCGTTTTGTAAAGAAAACTATTTGTAGTGAAAAAGTAAGTCAACATCTACTGTCTTGACTGCTTAGCGGTAGTCACAACAGAATACGCAACAAGAAGACGGAAAGTTTTAATCTTAACAGGTCTCGACAAATACCGGCTGAATAGGTACTTATGGACATACTTTATTGACCATAATTTAATCGTTGCAAATAGGGCGATGTACAATTTTAGAAGACGATTTGGTTGCAAAGGCTTTAGCTTCAGTGTGTCTTGCTTTTAGGGAACTGTACCTTTCGTAAAAATGATTTTCTTCACAAAAAGCTTGTTACGTGCAGATAGGCTACTTGGAAGATCGTTTCAAATTTTGAAGAAAAAAAGTATGCCCAGTGATTTTTTTCGGTCTTGTTCAGTCTTTATGTTAATGTTTTAATTTCACAACGTATTTTTACTTGAAATCATGTCTTAAGATGCTGTATTGATCAAGACAAGATTTCAATATATCATCAAACTATTTTAATGAGTCTTCCATGCAACCTTATCACTTATAGTAACTTATGCCTGGTTTCCGAAAGCCCGATCAATGTTAAAATCAACTAACTAGGTGTCAAATCTCTTGTCAAGCCATCTGATTGATAATTCAGTCAACCAATCAGATGACTTGACAAGAGATTAAATTGATTTTGACATTGATCGACCTTTCGGAAACCGTTTGTAAGTATAACAAATACAACTTACTTGGGAGACTTCAAGTCCCTATGGATAATCTTGTGACTGTGTAAATACGCCATTCCCTGGGCGATTTCTTTGGCCCACTTCAAGATCTGAGAGGGCAAAAAGCTGGATCCGCTATGTATATATTCAAATAGAGGCCCATACTGGCAAAACTCCATTATGATGCAGGAAGAAGGCCCATCAGTACTTATACCTTTGAATTGCACTATAGGACAAAAGAAAAAAAACGTTAAGAAAAAAACTAAGATATAGTTTAAGTCTGAGCTTGCTTTGTATTTTGCCGTGTTAGTAACAGTAGGTCGAACCCCCAATGTCCAACAACTGTGTAACTTCTCTGGTGTTGCAGGTATAAATGGACGGCGGTACGAAGCCATAATTTTGTTAGTATAAAGATGCTGCCATTACAATAATAAAAGTCATTAGTTTAATTCAACAAAACGCTAATGCAGAGATGTAATAAAAATTGACACAATAGTCTAGGTAAGCTCATTACTGACACCTAGTAGGGATCATGAGAAGTATAAATTTGTAATGTAAGAGCTATCCTTAACGCATGTTTCACAAGAAGAAATAATGTTTCAACAGTAAGTACATTATTTGTGGTGCATGAGCAAAACGTGGACACGTAATAGAAAATACATTTAAATTACGGAGCTTTTAGAATTTCACTCTAATACTTAATATGGTTTTATTTATTTTATATTTGAATCGCAGCACGAATTTCACAAAGCATTAATACCTTTAAAAGAATATGCATTTCTAAGTGTATTCTGTTTTTACATGTGTTGAGAAGTAGTATCTATGTAATAGTCTTCCATGGTATTTTATATTGCAATGTGACAAACCCACGATCTAATATCGATTAAGACACAAATAGAAAACGAATGCATAAAAAATATCGTGATATTTTCTGTTGTCGTATCTGATATGGGGTACAAATCAAAGATATTTCGTCACATACTTGAAGCATAAGAAATGGTGTAACTATTTACATTTAGGCGAACACAATAACACGACAATATTCCTAGTAACAAAACGCCCGAACTACGAAGCAGAGGTCAGTGTAATAATTTGTCATTGTTGCTGTGAGAGCGACAGCTTACTGAATGCCTGAAACGGATGCCTGAACACACAATTCGAGTTACCCTTTGACGCCAGCTGCCCTTTCACGCAAATTCAATGTGTGCATGCAAGGTGAAGGCACCTGACATGAACAGCGACACAAGTTACCAAGTCAAACTGCGAGCACAATAGGAAATAGACAAAAAACGTACAAACGTTTCACAGTGCTTACAAATTCCTAAAGCGAATTCAAAGGATGACCTTTTCTGCAAAATAAAATTCTTCCATTTTAATTCAAACGCAGCTTAAAGTTGATTTAAATGTTCATTTCATTTTCCTCGAATTCGTTTGTGATTGTTTAACTACATCTTCATGAAGTTCAGTACAGATATTTATTGCACTTGTATTGGAAAAAAGTTATGAATATATAATATCTTTTTAGATTGATTTTTTTTAGCAACAAGAGTAAAGTTTTTTTTTCCTTTGCGCATAGCCTTTATGGTATCAATATTTACATACTTGTCGTGCGAATCTGGTGAAGATAAACTTTTTTGCGAAAATCTGGTAATGATAGGAACAATTCTTTCACAAAGATTCCTTTTCAATGAGCGTATAACATACGGTGCTTTCTATTCCGCAAAAACACTAACTGAAGTTAACATGGCGACGTCACGGGTAGAACTTTTTCCAAAAATTAGGATAACCGGTTTTAAGTGACCTGACGTAACAAGGTAGCCTAGTTTGACAATTAATTTAAACCTCGTCGACATACGGTCGCGTCTAGAAAATGGGTCAAAGAAATGTAGCATGCACCTATGGCCAAGTTAACTACTGCATCGTGTGACGGTATTGGTATTTTTTTTATACCATGCCATCAAAAATACCTAACAGAAACTGGACAAAGCTGAATCTCTTTTCGAGTGATTTTACAACAGAATAGACAGTGTAGAACAACAAAGTTTGAACAATACAATGAATAAACAATTTTAAAAACGTACAAAAAGAGTGCACAATTGTCTGTTGTATCCTTTTTAATGTGATTTTCCTCTTCCTTGTTAATTTTGAAACATTTGGTCCAAAGCAAATGCTTTGAACCACCAATGATGTTTGTTTCGTTGATTTGATTAAGAAAATGTTCTATAAAAAGTTATCATAAGTACTAATTTCAGTTGATGGATGACACAAAAGTAAAGGTACCAACAAACTAACGAGATTAAGTTACTCTTAATGCGGAAATGTTATGTTACACTCAGGACGAATTCTTTGTTATATTTTTTAAGAGTCAGCATGTCGTAACCTCACAAAACCGCCTGCAACTCCTGCGACCCAGGTTCTACAGTATGAACAACGCCCAATAACTATGTACGTCGAATTCCAGAAACATAATTGACAAGCTTCAATCCCGCAACAAAATATTAATAAATCAGGATTTAATAATCTTCAGACTTTTAATCTGGGTTTTGTTAAGGGGTTTTTAACAAAGATATGTCAGTAGAATCTTACGTTTTTACATTACTTACTAACAGCAAGATAATTAGTTTATAATATTACTTAAAAGCTAATGAATTAAATTTATGCATGGTAAACGGTTAATTAAATGGCACAGCTTTGTAATTCTACTCTGAGATGGTATTTGTAGATAAGGTTGAATTAGATCAGCCTACATCTAATCTTATTTATTTTTAAATCATCTACAAAATATTTTTACTCAGCCCACTTCGTCAGCAAATGTGTTCTTCTGAGGTTTATATAAGTACTAATTAATTTAAAGAATTGGGTACGACGAATTACGATTATACCTGTCTACGCCAAATTTATACTACGCTAATTTTGTAGTGCGTTGATTATTTTAAGAGTAATGAAGTAACATTTCAAATATACAATGAAAGCCATGCCTTTCATATAAATTGCTATACTATCAACATTAACATTTAGCGCAAATGCTGCTAGTAGACATTTTCTATGATTTTAATCAAGTAAAAGCTTTCATTTAGTTTCCTATGGATAATTATGCAAATAAAAGTTTCCACTTCTATAAAACATCGCCTGTGCACTAAAGGAAATATTGTCGTCAAAAAGTTGTCTTTTCATTTCTTATTCACGTTTGCTTTTACCGTCTACTGCATTTATAACTAAAAACTAAAATTTAAATAGAAGAAAAGCTGTATTATGTTTGCTGTTCGGAAACAGGACAGTTAACGGGCAAAGGGTAGTTGTCTCAGTCAAAAAACAACTATTTCTCATACAAAACTCAGAATACTCTAATATGCCATAGTAAAATATATTGTCCCTTATCGGACTATGCATCTACCACCTTGCCTTATCAGATTTCCGTGTTTCCCTTCCCGTAACGACCTCGAACACAATCATTTATGTCAATTTACATACTAGACATTGATTTAAAATATTTCCAGACAGTTCAGTTTACACTTAAAAAACTTGAACGAAAATGCCATCATAATTTTTAATGTCTGTCTGATATGAGTATCTGAAAATTTGCTATGTATCCTTTATTACACGACTATTAGCATTAAGGATGTATTCAATACTTGCTAAAAAGTCCTTTTAAATAAGATGCATCTATTTTAATTGTATGAGATACAACTTGTACATTCTAGCAAAACTGGCAGGTTTACTCAATGAAGTACGGACTACATACTAGAAAATTATGCAGTTTGCTAGTCTTGAGCATCGTTGCACATCACTAAAAGCGACGCTCGAATCAAAGAATATTGACTTTGTAAACTGTCTGTGAATGTACACTAACGTATCAGTTGCATGAGCAGACAGACAAACATACGTAATGTTTCTGTACTCTATACGGAATAGTAAGGTTGAATGAACAACGGCGACCAGCGAGCAGCGAGATCTATAATAGTGTTTACCTTTACTTTACTTTCTTTTATCAGGACTTATTTTATTTAAGACAATTTAGTAATTGTATTTTATAAACACAGTGCTTTCGGGAATATCCCGAAAGTATTCAAAACGCAAAATGAAAATTCTTCAAAACGTAGTTAATAAAAAAACTTAGTTATTAAAAAAATAAAGATCCTTAAGCTATCCTTTCTTTTCATATTTGGGCCAGCAAGAATCCCTCATACAGAGCCAATCAAAAATCGTTAACGCAACTTGTGGCTTCCCCAACAAGCTCTTTTATACACAAGTGAAAAAACCTTTCACAGCACTTATTGTGATGGGCCTAGTTACCTACATCCTCATTCTGGGAATAATTGAATGTCGCAGCGTAGTAAAGGTAAGTAGTGGAAAGAAATAGGTCACTTGTACCTATACGTGCCCAGCACGGGATATTCAATCAGTACACTTTGTTTGGACTGCAACCTACAAATCAGGCTAGGAACTCCAAGATGTATTTACTTACGCAGATTGCAAACATTCTACGTGACCATGAAAGAAGGGATTGTAAATACAGTAGGACTGAATGTTAGCACTGCAGCTGGCAAATATTCACCTTTATTTAATCCACGTTAGAGTTTAAACACCAGATAACTGAGCCTGCACCTATTCCCTGGTAGATAATTTAAGTTTACTGAAACTAATAACTGAGTGTTTAGTTGCACAAGATTCTGCATCCAATTAATTCGTCGCGAAGTTTGTTTTAATTGCGGGATGACTTTGGAATCTCTGAACGAAGATAGCATAACATTCACAAGCGCGTGTAGTGAACGCTCTCATGTTTGCAGTCTAGTAAACACAACGCCTACATCAAAGCTAATGAAAGCTACAATCCGGATCCGGAGGATAGTTAAGTGATAATTATTGCACCGCGATCCAATATATCGTCTCAAGCCGGCTTGTGACAATGGAATACGTATTAGATCTTCAGTTATATATTACATCTCCCTCGCAATTTCACTTACAATGTCATAAATGCGAATCGTGACAATGTATGGATTTATGTATGTGTTTCGCAGAGGAACTGTTTGGCACAAATACATAGATTTTATTCTTTCTACAATAACTCGTGATGGCCATCTCATTGCGATAATGAAAATTGATTGATTTCAAACCGATAACAGAAGCTAGAAAGGTATAAAATTTGGAACAGTTTAGCATCGTTGCCATTCAAACTGATTTGAAGACAATCGATGAATTCGCAGTGTTCGGGGACGTCCGGTTAAA